CATCATCATCATCATCATCATCATCATCATCATCATCATCATCATCATCGTCAGCATCATCATCAGCGTCATCATCATCGTCATCATCATCATCGTCATCATCAACAGCATCATCATCAGCAGCAGCATCAGCATCAGCATCAGCATCAGCATCATCATGATCATCAACATCAGCACCATCATCAACATCATCATCATCAGCATCATCAGCATCATCATCAGCATCGTTCCTATCATCATCAGCATCATCAGCATCATCAGCATCATCATCAGCATCGTCATCATCATCAGTGTCATCATCAGCATCATCATCAGCAGCATCATCATCACCATCATCAGCATCATCATCATCATCATCATCATCATCAGCATCATCATCATCATCATCATCATTATCATCATCGTCAGCATCATCATCAGCAGCAGCATCAGCAGAATCAGCATCAACAGCATCAACAGCATCATCATCATCAGCAGCATCATCAGCATGATCATCATCATCAGCATCATCATCAACAGCATCATCGTCATCATCATCAGCAGCAGCAGCATAATCAGCATCATCGTCATCATCAGCATCAGCATCATCATCATCATCATCATCAGCATCATCATCATCATTAACATCATCATCATCATCATCATCATCATCATCATCATCATCATCATCATCATCATCATCATCATCATCATCTGCAGCAGCATCATCATCAGCATCAGCATCAGCATCATCAGCATCAGCATCAGCATCGTCATCATCATAATCATCAGCGTCATCATCAGCATCAGCATCATCAGCAGGATCATCATCAGCATCAGCATCAGCATCAGCATCATCAGCAGCATCATCATGATCACCACATCGTCATCGTTATCGCCCGTTTGAGCACACCCCTCACACGTTTCGTGGCCCCATGTGGAGCTCCACCGAAGGCCCCAGTGCTACCGTCCACATGCGTCCGCCAAACCCATACGCTTCGTGGCCCCATAGGGAGTTCCACCCAAGGCCCCAGTGTCCACATGCGTCCGCCACACCCATTTCGGCACACCCATCACACGCTTCATGGCCCCATAGGGAGCTCCACCCAAGGCCCCAGTGGCACCGTCCACATGCGTCCGCCCCACCCATTCCGGCACACCCCTCACACGTTTCGTGGCCCCATGTGGAGCTCCAACCAAGGCCCCGGTGGCACCGTCCACATGCGTCCGCCACACCCATTTCGGGACACCCCTCACACGATTCGTGGCCCCGAAGGGAGCTCCACCGAAGGCCCCTGTGGCACCGTCCACATGCGCCCGCCACACACACACACACATTTCGGCACACCCCTCACACACCAAAGGCCCCAATGCTACCGTCCACATGCGTCCGCCACACCCAATTCAGGCACACCCCTCACACGTCTCGCGGCCCCATGAGGAGCTCCACCCAAGGCCCCAGTGGCACCGTCCACATGCGTCCGCCACAACCCATTTCGGCCCACCCCTCACACGGTTCGTGGCCCCATAGGGAGCTCCACCCAAGGCCCCAGTGGCACAGTCCACATTCCACATGCGTCCGCCACACCCATGTCAACACACCCCTCACACGTCTCGTGGCCGCACAGAGAGCCCCACCCCAGGCCCCAGAGGCACCGTCCACATGCGTCCGCCACACCCATGTCGGGACACACGCACACACACACACACACACACACACACACACACACACACACACACACCTCACACGTTTCGTGGCCCCGCCACACACCGAAGGCCCAAGTGGCACAGTCCACATGCGTCCGCCACACCCACTTCGGCACACCACACCCCTCACACGTCTCGCGGCCCCATGAGGAGCTCCACCCAAGGCCCCAGTGGCACCGTCCACATGCATCCGCCACACCCAGTTCGGCACACCCCTCACACGTCTCGTGGCCCCACAGGGAGCTCCACCCAAGGCCCCTGTGGCACCGTCCACATGCGTCCGCCACACCCATTTCGGCACACCCCTCACACGTTTCATTGCCCCATAGGGAGCTCCACCCAAGGCCCCAGTGGCACCGTCCACATGCGTCCGCCACACCAATTCAGGCACACCCCTCACACGTCTCGTGGCCCCAAAGGGAGGGCACCGTCCACATGCATCCGCCACACCCAGTTCGGCACACCCCTCGCACGTCTCGTGGCCCGACAGGGAGCTCCACCGAAGATCGTACTCACGACTGCGGTGCTCACAGCTGCATATGATTGGGTCCTTCGCCAGGCAAAAATTGTTCGGCGGCGAGGCAGGGGTCGTCTGCGCTAGCGGAAAAAGCTAGAACGGGGACACCGTTGAAGCGAATAGTGCCACCATGCAGGGGAGGGGAGAACGGATGTGCACACACGAGGCTTGCTGACAGCTCTGCAACTTTGCGCACCAGAGGAAGCAGGCGGCGGGCCTCAGACTCAGACGCCCGCCAGGCTTGCCCATGACGTCGGCGGCGTAGGCGCAGACGACGATGGCCTGCAGAGCCCACAGGGAGGGAGGAGGAGGAGGAGGAGGAGGAGGAGGAGGAGGAGGAGGAGGAGAAGGGCATCGAGTACCGTCCAGCGGCGGACAGAGAGCGGGCGCTGCCGCACTCGGAGAGGGCGGCCCTGGCGCGAAGCAGGCTGCACCGGCTGGCGGGCTCCACAGGGGGGAGGAGGAACAAGTTCCAGGAGGGCGAGAGGAGGGAGAAGGGAGGGAGTTCATTGGAGGCCTGGAAATGGGCACCAACACCAAAACAGGGGGTTGCCTCCACAGGGGGAAGATGATCCTAGATTTCGGTGTTGGTGGTAATATTTCGGTCAACTTGGAAGCCAGAATATTACCACCATCACCGAAATTGGGATCTTCTTCCCTCGGTGGAGGCATACCGCCGATCTTGGTGTTGGTGTCAACCTCTGGGCCTGCGAGTTCAGCGAGGGAGGGAGGGAGGAGGGAGCTGGGCGAAGGAGGGAGTAAGAAACAAGGGGGGGCAACGGAGGAGGGGTAGTCTCCCCACGACAGCAAGTGCAAGCGTCGCCTCTATCCACAGCAGGCGGTAGCCACATGTGGAGGCCAATTATTTCTGTGAGCATCGTAGACGCCATCGCCAATAATAAATCAGCCACATGCCTTGGCACGTAGTGGTGTCCTCAAGCCCCTGAGGGTCCTTTCCACTGCCGGTTGAAAATTGCAAATCCACCAACGAGAGGTCTTTTAATGTGTCTTGGGACCGAAACCTCCCCAACTAGCGCGCATCCTTAGAAAACCGCCCCCCCCCCTGCGTTTGCTCCCCAGCGCTCTTTTCGGCCCCCGTGTCGGCTCAAGAGGCTCCCAAGACGGCTTCCAAAACAGCCTAGATGACACCAAGACGGTCCAAGATGGCCCAAGACAGCATTAGAAGCTCACAAACCGCATGAAGACGACTCGAGAGACTTTGGAGACGGCCGAAGAGGGCTTCATGAGGCCCTGCAGGAGAGCCCGAGGAGGCAAAAATCATTGATTGTCCTTGGGTTGTTCAATGATTTGAGGCTCTCACCCGTTTGGATTCCCGACCGCCCAGGGCGGCCCAAGAGGCCTCCTAGATAGCTCCAAGACAGCTCATGAAGCCCAACTAACCAGAGCCCCAAGTCGGCCCAAGAGGACCCCAAGACCGACCAAGAGCCTCCCAAGAACGCCCCACAAGAACCAAAAAGGCCTCCAGGACCACATTGGATCCAATCTTATTGCCAGCTCCAAAAATCCTTGATTTTCATGTCATGTTCGATCCATTCTCTCACTTTCGGGCTAACGACAGCCGAACACGGCCCAAGAGGCCCCCGGGACGGCCTCGAAAAACTCCAAATGACCTCCAAGGCAGCCCTACAGCGCCCCAAAAACGCCCAGAAAGCCCCAGAAGACGCTAGGAATGCGTTAGAATTCGACTACGATCGGAATGCAATAGAATTCGACTATACTCAGAAAACAAAAGACTTCGACACCAAAAGAAGTAGAATAGCATTCGAACGCAATCGAAACACTATGGAATTCGAATTCAATCAGCATACAATAGAATGTGAATACAATATGCATACAATATAATGCTAATAACATAAACTTCGAACACAATCGGAATATAAAAAAAATCCAGATACCATAGGAGTAAAAGAGAATTCGGATACACTCGAAATCCCATAGTTTTCGAATATAATAAGAAAACATATGAACTCGAATGGAATCGGAATACCAAATAATCCAAATACAATAAGAAAACAATACAATCCGAATAAAACATGACCACTATAGAATTCGAATACTATAGGAATACACTAGAACTCGACACCATAAACTTCAAATACAGTAGAATTCGAAAACCATCGGCGAACAATTGAAGCCGAATGCAATAGAAATACAAGAGAAACCGAATACAATGGGAATACAATAGAATTCGAATACCATGGAATTCGAAAACAATAAGAAAACAATAGAATTCGAAAACAATAGGAGTACACTCTAATTCTTAGGCGACACGAAGTTGAAGTGTGAAACTGCCATGTGTTCGGTCTTTCAAAATAGAGGGCAGCATATTCTTACCGAGTAGTGCATAGGTCACGAAGGCGCGGTGTGGTGTTACCGACACGAAGGCGGGGTGTGAAACTGGCGTTTCCCTTAGTTTCCTAGAAATGTATCCAATAGTGTCGCTTTGCAATCCAGGGTGCGCGAACATGGGGTTTGGCCAGACACGAAGACCATGTCTGATCCTACTACTACTACTACTACTACTACTACTACTACTACTACTACTACTACTACTACTACTGCTACTACTTCTTGCACTGCTACTATCACTACTGCTACTGCTACTGCTACTGCTACTACTACTGCTACTGCTACTGCTACTGCTACTGCTACTGCTACTGCTACTGCTACTGCTGCTGCTACTACTACTACTACTACTACTACTACTACTGACGACGACGACGACTACTACTACTACGACTACTACGACTACGGCTAAGACTACAACTACGACTACGATTACGATTACGACTACGACTACGACTACGACTACTACTGTTGCAGCTACTGCTACTGCTACTGCTACTACTACTACTACTACTAAATATAATACTAATGCATACTTATTACTACTACTACTACTACTACTTAATACTACTACTACGTACTACTACTATAACTTACCCATTCCTTACTACACTACGACTACTGCTACGACTACGACTTACTACTTGCTACACACGAATCTACTACTACACATACTACTTACCATACTACTACTACTACGCTACTACTACTACTACGACTAATACTACTACGACTACGACTATACGACTACAACTACGACTACGACTACGACTACTAACTACTACTACTAATACTACTACTACTACTACTACTACTACCTACATACTTACTATAATTATCGACTAGTATACTACTACTACTACTTACTAATAATACTACTACTACTACTACTCTACTACTAATACTACACTAATAATAATATAATTGCTAATACTACTACTACTACTACTGCTACTACTACTATTATCACTACTACTAATGATAATAATACTACTACAACTACGACTACTGCTACTACGACTACTACTACTACTACTACTACTACTACTACTACTACTACTACTACTACTACTGCTACTGCTACTACTACTACTACTACTACTACTACTACTACTACTACTACTACATCTACAACAACAACTACTACTACTACAACTACAACTACTACTACGACTACGACTACGACTACAACTACGACTACGACTACGACTACGACTACGACTACGACTATTATTGCTACTACTACTACTACTACTACTACTACTACTACTACTACTACTACTACTACTAATGATAACAATAATAATAATAGTAATAATACGACCACTACTACTGAAAATCGTCCTTCCTTCTCCCCCTTCGCCCTCCGTCCTCACTCAATTTTCCTGAAGAGCTGGATGAAAGCGGTCAGGGCGGCGCGCCGGGAAGAGCATCAGCGTTATCAGCGCCTCCACCCAAGTCACCTCGCGCGCGTGTTCGCGCGTGTTCGACTCACAATGCGACTGCACCGACTCCTGTCCAAAGGATGCGTACTCCCAGTCCCCTCGCTTTCGCCCCACACTGACCAGGCCATGCGCTGCAACTCCCAGAGCACCATACGAAACTGGCGGCTCCTCCTCAACGAAGACGGGTCGCTATCTCCTGTACAGACTCGCGGGGCAGGAACAGGGAGCGGCACAGGTCGCGCGCGAGACAGCGAAACTGCCCCTCCTGTCGCTGATCTGCTGTGGCCAAGGCCAGTCGGCAGCCTGCACAGCGTTGTGGATGCCATGACAGTGGGCACTCTAACAATCCGATCATTGAATTTAAAATGTAAGAAGTTCTAAACATGTGTTTATATATATATATGTAAAGCATGTTTGGGACATTGTTCGGCATCTGGACATTATTTGGCAGCACGCTTCCTCTCCATTAATCGGCTTCCACAAACATAATGTTGACCTCCTGCCGATAATGGAAAGCCCGCATGGCCGCGCGAACATGAGAACCACACGAACACTGAGGCAAACAACGACTGCGCAGCACAACCCGCGTTCACGTCGCGCGTGTGCTCGCAGGCCGCCGCGGCTGCGGCTCCGGCCTGCGCGCGCTGCACACTTCCAGGGGTCATGCGTGGTGAGCCCCGCGGTTCACTTCGCCAGTGAGCTCGCGCGCCAAGGAAGCCGCGCCTCGTGGGCGCAGCCGCCGAGGCAACCGAGGGGCGCTTCCGGGCAGAAGCAGGCACAGCAGGCTCGGGAAGGGCGCGGAGGAGGGGGAGGGAGCCGCGCGGGCGGCGACCCAAGCGGCGCTCGCATCCGGGGCGCGGCGGCCGCCCCACCCAGCACTCCCGCCAGAGGTTAACGGGCGAAGATCGGTATAAGATAAACTTTTCCGCCGTCGGGGACACCTGTCCCTGGGCGGCTGGAAAGTTTACACCCTTACGGTGGCACCGCAGGGGTATAAACTTTCCAGCCGCCCAGGGGCAGGTGTCCCCGACGGCGGAACGTTTATTTTATACCGTTCTTCGCTCGCTGAAGAGGGGGGGGGCGTGGATCCCCCCCCACGTGCTGCAGGCGCGCATGCCGTGGCGCTCGCAGCGCAGCCCCCGCCCCGGCGTGACCCTGCCCCGCCCCGAGCGCTACCGCCAGGCCCCCCCCCCCACTCTGGCGCCCGACGCGCGACGGCCGCGCCGGCGCGCAGGTCCCCCCCCCCGCAGTCGCACCGCGCGAGGTTCGCGCGTCGAGTTATGATGTGCCGACCTGCTTTCGCCTTGATCACCAGATCTTGAGCGCCAAGAAATTACCGAAACTGGAGGGCTCTCAGGTGTCGCTGCCACCGCTGGATTCGCTCCGAAATTCTGATCAGAACGCACCCCGGGAGAGGTCCGGAGAGTAGAGGTATCGGCATCTTTTGGTCTCCCCAGGGGCAGCGCTACCAGGGCGGCAGGCATGGAACTAGCAGCGCGCAGCACAATCATCAAAACACAGCACGCGGAGGGGTGGCGATAACCCTGGTCTCGGTCGGGAGGCAGAAGCCAAGTCTTCCTGGAAACGGCACCGACGTGTGCACCCGCAAGCGCGAGCCAGCACACGATGCGCCCAGAAGGCGGCCTCGCGGCGAAAGCTTTAAAAACCCAGCCCACGCTCAGGGCAGACACGAAGCAGCCTAAGGGACCGGGACTCTATACACCGACGTTTTCTACGGCCCCGCACTGAAATCCGCACAAGAAAGCGGATCCTGGTGTACACCCTGCGAAATGCTTAAGAAATCATGGGTTAAGAAATTCATAGTCTCAGAACTTGAATAAAAACCCAAAAATTCCATTCAAATCTTAGGAGTTACATTGAAACGTTAAGAATAATCGAGACTCTGGCCGAAAAAATAAGTTTTCTTAAGCATCGCCTAAGGTGTATATGGGATCCTGGTGTATACATTTTTCGTTGCTCCCACGGGAAAACGGGAGAAACGTGCACAGCACACCACCCCGACGTCGCCCCCGACCCTCCAAAAAAGCCCTGGGATTGCAGAACCGCTCGCCACTGGTAATGTACACCCTGCGAAATGCTTTAGAAATCATGGGTTAAGAAATTCATCGTCTCAGATCTGGAATAAAAACCCAACGTTTCTATCAAAATCTTAGGAATTACATTGAAACAGTCAGAATAATCGAGACTCTGGCCGAAAACTTAAGTTTTCTTAAGCATCGCCTAAGGTGTAGATGCTCCAGCTTCTGACAGCCACGGACGCCCCCAGCCGAAAGCCCGCGGACCCATACAGGCACGGGGGACAAGCAGGGCGCCCACGGGCGAGCGCCGGGCGAGAGCCCACGCAGCGGGCACGATGTTGTGACCGCCGAGGGTCCTGGCCAGCGCACGGGGAGTCCACGAGGCGGCCACGAGCGTTGCGGATGCCACGACAGTGGACACCCTGACAGTCCTATCATTGAATTTAGCATGTGCTTAAAATGTCGGAAAAGGTTCTGAACATGTGTTTAACGTGTTGCTTGCATGTTTGAAGCATGTTTGACACATGCTTTAGACATCTAGGAATTATTTGGCAACATGCTTCCTCTCCATTGATCGTCCTCCACAACACGAGAGCGCACAACGGGCGCGCAAACCCTTGAGACCCAGCCCTTGAAACCCGGCCAGCGCACAAGTCGCCCAAAACGCGGCCACGGGAGGGAACCGGGCGAACTTCACGACCGCCCATCTACCGGGCAGTTTTTAATACACAGGATTTCTTTTTTAATATAGGATGTTTAATACATGATTCATTTATGAATAAAATTATGCATGAACTCATCGTTGTTTCTGATACTAAATCCCTGAATGTTTAATACATGATCCGCACGCGGAGCATGTATTAAAAACGGCACTGTACTCGGGAGACAAGTTAGAACCCGAATTGCAAGTACTGTTTGGGGAAACGTCCCTCTGGGTCACTGGCCGTGCTCTTTTTCTTGCTCAGGAGCTCGGCAGGAAGCCGCCCAGCGCGAACATGTCAAGCTGCGGCTCGAGCCTGGCTGCCCCATCCCGCTGTTCTTCCCATCCACTCCTCTCCCCACCCCCTGCCCTTGATCGCCACAGCATTACCCACATCACCAACAACAGCGACAACGACATCGACAACCACAACCACAACCATAACAACAACAACAACAACAACAACAACAACAACAACAGCAACAACCACAACAACAACAACAACAACAACAACAACCATAACAACAACAACAACAACAACAACAACAACAACAATCACTTACCCGAACGCTCAGTGTTCTCACCAGTGCCAGGGTTTTCATGCGACGCCAGCCAATACCCCACTTTGTGGGGGGGCAGTGCAAGCTCTACCAAATATCCACACGACTCTTCGCCACCACCCACACCCAGCTTCCCGCCCTATGACGTTCGGACACTTCACTTCGTGGCCTGCGGACGACCGTGGCCACTACACTGGCGCGGTATGTAAAATTCCTCAAGTAAACCCAATGGTTTTTGGAGAGTTCGGCCGTTGCGCGCGCGAAGAAAAACCGAATGTGTCCCGCATGGTATTATTTGACAGGGATGATGGCCCTGGCAGGTGCGCAACCGTTGTCGCAGAAGTTCGAAAAAGTTGCTCGCAAAAGCCCGTTTGACAGAAATGTTTAAAAAGTGTTGGGTTTTCCTACGAATCCGCAAGAGCGCGCGGGATGAGATTTTGACATTTTTTTGTTGAAAAAACCATTGGTTTTTTGGTGTTTTTATGTTAAAATCGCTCCGAACACTAAGCTTTTGGAAGGATTTCGTCTTGCGCGCGCGAATGTCCACTGTACCTTATTTTTTGCAAGGGATTCTTGAAATTTGATTATATTAAAACAAGAAATGTCATTTTATAGTGTTTTTTGCAAGGGAAAACGGATTACAACAAAACAACCGGATCTTGATGACATCGTATTACCTGAGGCTTCCTTCAGAAAAAATGATGAAAATGTAGCTGCGGCCTAGGCGGCGCAGGGGGGCCGTGCACCAGGGGCCCCAACAATAATTATTCTTTAGAATTAATAATGTTCAACAACAACAACAACAACAACAACAACAACAACTACTACTACTACTACAACAGCAACAACAACAACAACAATAAGTTTAAGACTGATCGCCCTTATATGCTCGAGTGTCCAATAACGCGTATTTCCCAAACCCTCGATACCCGCCCTCTTGGGGGTATACCTTTTGGGGGGTATACCTTTCTTCCCTGCAGGCCGGGCCCCGGCAAGCGGCGGGGCGGCCGCGGACCGTCGGCCTGGCCAGCGGCAGCGCTGATCGGCGGGGCGGCCGCGGACCGTCGACCCGACCCCAAGAGGGACGGACAGGGGACCGACCACGACGACGACGACGACGACGACGTCGAAGACGACGGCGACGGCGACGACGACGGCGACGACGAGCGAAAGCGAGAGCGAGAGAGAACGACAGCAGGGCCACGAAGGGCACGAAGTAGGCCACGAAGGGTGACAGCGGGGACACGAAGGGAATGCGTATGGGGCCACGAAGAGCGCGAACGAGCGGGGGCCACGAAGTGCAGATAATGCGGGGCCACAGAAGGCAACTATGGGGCCACTGAGGGTAGCAACTGGGCCACGTAGGACAGTGAGGGGGACACGAATGGCGACAGCGGGGCCACGAAGGGCATGCAAATGGGGCCACAACGGGCGCGACTCATGGGTGCCTGGGTGTCGGGAGCGCGGCGTTTGGGCAAATTGCAAGAAATTCCAACGCAAGGCAATTCTTCACTAAGTTGCAAGCAAATCTCCAGCGAGAGCGCGACTCCAGAGCGCCGGGAGAGCGATTCCTGAATAGATTGTAAGGAAGTCCCAAGCCAGAGCGCGATTCCTGAATAAAATGCGAGGAAGTCTCGGGCGGGAGCGGGGGTCCTGGCTAAATTGTAAGGAAGTCTCAAGCGGGAGCCGTTGTTGTTGTAACCCGGGGGCCAGGGGGCC